AAATTTTAGTTCCAATGGTAATTTATCACTTAGTGGCTTTGAAGCTTACTCATATTTTGGTAATGTTACTATATTGAGGGTATCACCTTTTCCAACCACATTAACCTCAAGTTTCTAAATTTACCACTAGTTTTAAGATGGTATACAGTAAAATTAGCTTTTTCTTGGTCAAAGAAAACAAAGTATTTGAGTCAAACAGTTTCCCTACATGTATTTTCATTATCAGTGACTTAACTGGTATAAACAACAGAAAAATTAATATTTTCCAGTTGTTTTATGTTACCACTTGATTTTTGTGGTTTCAGTTTTGTCTTCAGATTTGCACAATTGCTGGTGACTTGAAGTTATTGCCAGATATGTGAATAATAACTATTAGGTAGTCCAATAAGATTTCTAGTTTTCCGAATACAGCTTAGTTATATAATATTTTACATGGACTGTGTTTATATATCTTCCAAAATTGCGAAATCCGCAGTGGGAAATTTTCCTCTTTTTTGATGATTGGTTTGTTTAGCTGCCATTTGCTAATTAACTGTCAATAACATACATCTTTCTTTCTGACATTTGAGTGTACGACGTAGGAGGCAGGAGTTTCAAATTACCAGCATTTTATTATGACAGTCACATTACTGTTGTTTAGTGTCCTATCTTGATGGACAAAAATGTTGAGCAACAAATTTATTAAAGGTTTTCAACTTATGACATTTTTCCGCTGATTAAGAATGACATTACCCTTCCTCTTCCTGACTCTTCTAGGAAGATCGAAGGGACCTCGGCTCACAGGGTAGAATGACATGCAAGAAACCTACATGTATTATTCATAGGTAGTGACAGAGCAGGAGTTATTTCCATTTCATTTTGTGTCAAATACTTGACTGTTCAGAAAATTTTGACAGACAAAAGTGAAATTTCTCAATTGATTTGAATTTTTCATTTGATTAAAAATGAGGGGAGTTACTTTTTGAAGTACACAGAGCAGGATATTCCTAAGCAGTTAAAACTCTCAAAAGTGTAGTTGTCAACTAACCAGCTATTCTTATGTGCAGTCTTGTGGATGAAGCAGCCTGTCAAGAAATTATTAGGCCTGTTTTTTTTTCATCAGAATTTGCTTGTGTCTGTAACTGAAGCAATTCCTCACCTTATTGATGGGCATCCTTAAGCTCAGTAAATGTAGTGTCCCCACTGTCAATTCTTGAATGATAAAATATCTTTACTGATGATTCAAAGTTCTAAACTGACGATAAATTCTCAAATGCTTGCAACTGTTGTGCAAGTACTAAACCAGGGCTGTCACTAATTCTTGAAGTAGGTGAAGATCCTAACGAAGAAGCCCGTGATAGCATTTGTTAAACACTCTGCAATACTTTAATCTAAAATTTTTGCTATACTAACTCCTGCAAGGGTTGCCACAGTACAATTGAAAGATGCTTTCTTAACCACCAAAAATTTAGATGGGAGGAGCCCCAAAGGTATAACTATTTCTTCTAGGGATTTCATTTGAGAGACATCCCCCTTGAAATTAAATCTAGAAAACATAACATCATTTTAATGCATTCTGGAAGACTTATAGATGCATTGACATCAAAATCAGCTTCTTGTTTCAACACCGTGTTGATTGTCAGAATTTTCCTTAATTTTCTTATTTGTCACTGTTTGTGTGGAATTTTGTGCTTGTGCACCTGCCTTCCTCAGGTATACTTCCATTGCCATTGAAAACCAGACATAAATTAGCTTCTTTCTTTTGAAAAAGAAAAACAACAACAAAGAAAGGAACAAACAAACAAACAAATCATTGAATCATAATATCATCTTGGGAGGCAGCACGGGCGAGTGGTTAGGGCACCGGACTTGAAATCTGGAGGTTGTGGGTTCAAGTCCTGCTCTGACCACTAAGCTGGATTTGTTTCTCGGTAAACCCTAGTTCAACTCCTCAGTCATGCTTGTAAGTAACCAGGTGGTCTGCCTGCCACCAGTTGCGATATTGTAGCCTTATGTTTGAAATATTTGTTTCTTTCAGTTAAGGTGGCATGCCTTTGAACTAGCTAGGTGTAGCTAAGCACATTGTCCACTATAAACAACAACATTTGAACACTTTTTTTGAACATCACAGGATTGCTGTGTAACCAAGGTTCTTGTGGTTGGTATTTTTAGGTGAAGACAGAGAATGATCAGCTCAGAGGAGATCTTGGTCTTCTCAGGAAACAACTTAGCAGAAAAATTAGCTTGGATGATGATCGGTTACAACAGATGGAAATTGATGAGCTCTGGGAAAAGGTAATAAACTATAAACAACCTTTTTGTCATTCATGCTCCTTTTTGAAAGTATTTATATGCCAGAAAAAATATATCCCTTGTGTGCTGGCTTGTTGAAGTACTAAACCAGTACTATCTAAAGTACAAAAATGATGGGAGCGACTCATGATTAGTTTTGGTTTTACTTCTGAATGGATGACAAACTGGCACAAGTTTTTAAGCCAATTGTGTAGCATAGTGATGCAAAACCAATTACTTTTCGACACTCAAATGAAAACTGCTCTACTATAATAATGTTGTTGTCATTGGATTTGCTAACACAATAGTAGGCAATATCCATGCTCCCCACTTATAGAAGTTTTTTGCTTTAAATTATCTCCACCCCTCTTGAAATAAGTTTCTAATTTAGCGGCATCTGATATAATCTGAAGCCTTTTCACTCCATTTCGGAGCATAGGCCACTGACAAATCGCTTCCAATCCCCTCTGTCACTGGCCAAGTGTTCCATCTTGGTTATTTTAACCACATACTTTTGTTAAAAGCCTTGACCATAGATACACTTCTTTTACAGTAAAACCCGCATAAAAGAACACATGTTTTGGGAGTTCAGGCTGATTTTGTTCTTATATATCAGGTGTTTTCTGCAAAATCAGTTCTTAAGGTGTTCTTAAAATTGTTTCTAAAAATGAAAAACTGCATACAGATGAAATCAATGTGCAAGCACAACATTTTAATTAATTTATGTATAGCACATATATTGATCTACTCAGTATTGTACTTAGTACTGTACCCTAGTAGGTTATTCTAATCTAACCGGCAGCCGATTTTTTTATATAAGAACAATTTTCATCTTTCAGGCTGAATGTGTTCTTATGTATATGGTACTTTTTTGACCAAATTTCAGCCTGAGTGTTCTTACTCCACTTGTTTTTTTCGCAGGTTTTTACTGTATTTTAATTTCCAGTTTCTGGAAGCACAGAGTGATCTTTGTTGCATGATCAGTTTGCAAGTAACTTAGATTGTTGTCCTTTTGTCATTAGCTCACCAGGCTGGAAGAGGAGAAATTGAGCCTGAATAAAACCATCTCTGAACTTGCAACCAGCAAGGAAACTCTGTCTAAAGAAGTAGAAGAACTCTTAGCAAAGAATCAGTCATTAGAGAAAAAACTGACTTCAAGCAAGGGGCAGGTATGAATAAAAATCTTGTTAAAGGAGCTAGGTCTAGGTTTTGCATCTCAAAAAGTTTAGCCTAAATTTTTCAAGTTTGTCATTTGTAATCCATGTCAGTGTTCTCCATCCTTCACCATCCTTGTTCCCTTATGGTTTATTGTTATCTCTTTGGTGATTTGCCATCTTAGTAAACTACTATTTTCAGGTTTCCTTCAGTATAAAGAGGATCTCTTTTACATGGCCACAATAATTGAAAATGTGTTGATTGAGCTCCTTTAAGCTAAATTGTTTCCGTTGTTCTTATCTGAAGATTTGAAAAATTGACATTCCCAACTGACTGTCATGTATTTCTTTAAAATGTTAGATATATGAGGGTTTGGTATCTCACCAAGATTATGTCCCATGCTGATAATTTTCCTTATTCCCATACTTGAGTATCAACTGATCAGCGTAGCGAAGGTTTGACTTTGTTGTAAAACATTTTGTTTTTCTTTCACTCTTTTCAGCTTGCTCATTGTGAAGAGGAACTCAATGAGTCCAAAGATCTCAATGCATTTCTCCAGGATCAGATTGACGAAATCAAGATGCAGGTAATTCATATTAATTCTTGTGCTGACTGATTTGAGGGAGAGAAGAAGGGGGCAGTACTAATCAATAGGTAGTGTCCATCATATAACTAAACGAGATGTCTCTATTTTAATGACTGTCTTAGTTATTGTAAACGGACAGACAAGGCACAAACCAAAGCCCTAACAGTATATATTTTTAGAACAAACTAATATAATTTTCCACTCCTATACCCCTATTACCCCTAAAGTGGTCCTTGGTGGCACTTGTGTCAGACCAAAATGACTTATATTAATTCGGTTTTTACGCACGTTTGCAAGCAATTTCTATTTTCAAGGGTATACCCTAACATTTTCGTGTTTCTTTTGTTTGTTTTTGCCTCCTACTCAACCAGCATAGAATGTCGCTTTTAAAGGACAAAGTTTAGCCTTCTAGTCTAGGACAGGTGGGACTATGGGGGACGAAGGGCTGTAAAAAGAGATAAGTAGTTTCTATTTGTTCTGCTGGGTCCTTAGTATGTAAAATAGTTTTAACCACATCCTTTAGTGAAGTGAAGGGTTTGAAGTACTGTAAACTTCCGTTTACGTCAAATCAGGTCAAAAGTTCACACGAAAAAGACAAATTAGATGCACTCAAGCGATATATCGCTTTGTTTTTTCGTCTGCATCTAGATATCTATTATTTCCTTTGTTTTACATAGAGGAAATGGTAGGCGTCCGCACGCACTTTGTGTGTCTTTACGGGTTATTTACAAAGCCTGCAAACGCATTAGGATTTACGCCTGCTTGAACGAAGAGGGCGGAAATCCAACACCTGGAAATCCATCTACGTTTACAGGCTGCCAATTAATCTGGCGTCGATGATTTCAAGTTTGCGACATTATGGCATGGTAGTTAAAACATTTACTAAAACTTTTAATGTAAAGCTGGTCAGAATTGAAAACGAACAGAACTTTTATAAAGGTTTCTACTGAGCCATGGAGAACTACTAATGTTATTTTAACATTTCATATTATGTCTGGTTCGGGCACTTTGAGCTACCTTGGTTAGCAAGAGGAGTTATTATTAGTTGAAACTTAACTTTCCCATTGTCCATCATTCATATTTTGCGAAGTACGATTTAAGAAACATCTAAAATTTGAAGCCCTTGGCCTTGACAAATGCGGGAGTGCACAGTTCTCGTAAGCTTGTAGTTCTTGGCGTCACACTGTAGCACCTGCTTCTGTTTGGGGGCTTGGAGCATCGATTTTCGTTCAGGGATGGAATAGGGCGTGGAAAGCCCGAGGGGAACTGTCATATAAAAGGGACGGGGATGCTCGTGGTAACTTTTAGGGGTAAAAAAAGTGGTTTTGGTAGCTCCTATTGTTGTTCCGCCTCAAGAAATCCACAGCGGCAGCTTTCGCGGTATCTTTAAGGGTAATGAGCCGAAACAAATTTCACAGAAGATTATGTGTTGTTTGGAATTGGTACATCTTAGAGGTGAAAACATTTCAAGCCACGCCCACAAAACAGGATCTTGGTACTTCTTAGGGGTTTTTTTCAAAATACCCGACGAGCACCCCCGTCCTTTTTGTATGGGAGTTCCCCTCGGGGAAGGAAAGAAGAATTTTTTGGTCTGAAATAGGGCAAAGGTTTCAGAAAGCTTGTCGTCAGGGAATACCCCTGGGGATACCCCTGGGAACCAAGTTGTTTTAGACATCTCAGCAGCGTTTTCTCATATCTTTTTTTTGCTTGTACCCGTAGGCATCAATGGAACAATTATCTAGGACGTCATTATTTTCCGAGCTGTCCGATCTGTCCGTGACAGGAGTCGATGATGGAGATCAGAGCAAGGACTCGTCACCAAAAATGGTGAGTGAAAGCTCTATGTCTCTTGTCTCAGGCCGTTACTCTTATTGGTCACGCGACACCTGCTATTGCTAGTGGTCACGCAACACCGCCGCGACAGCTTCCCCTGTGTCCCCTATCTCGTAGTTCAAGCCACTTGCGATTTTCAAGTTAGATCTCATTTGAGACAAAACTTCGGAGTTCACGTTTAACAACTTCGTTCTCTTCCCAGATGGGTGTGGGGCTGAGACCAGTTGCCAGTCTCCACGGAAGTCCCAAGCCTTTACAGGCTTCCTCGTCGATGGGCCTGGGTCAGAGCTCTAACAAGCGCCAGAGGCAGTACAGCAGTATCAGCGATGACGAGTCAGACGACAGTGACCTTGAATACGATGAACACGAAATTGTGGTCGGAGGGGTGACGAGAGATAGTGACTTCTACGCGCAGCTTGAAAAAGAGGAGAAGGCGAACGCTCAGGTAGGACGATGAATCATGATCAAAATATCAAGTCTCCCTACTGATTGCCATTCGTTTTTTCAAATATTAGTTCTTAGAGGTTGGTGGTTCGTTAAGATAATGTCGCTTGTCTGCTTTTTCAAGGCAGCATGGAGAATTTATGTGTGGATCGTCGTGTGAGAATAAAGAACGCGAGTTATTTTAGTTTCCAAGTGATTGTGCAGATAGCTTCAATATTAGGCTTTTCTAGGAAGG